GTTACCGAGGGTCCCGTCAGGCCGAGGCGTCGTTAAATCCCCAGCGGATCTCCTTGTTCTGGAGATGGGACAGGCCACAGAACGATAAATTCGGTGTGTCTGAGGTACCTCCATATGGCCGACAGCTGAAGACTCTGCCCTCCATGGCCTCTGCGTCATTCCTTTTGGAGAACATGCTAGAAAGGGGCTGTGACCCTGAGCCCTCCCGTCCTACCACAAAACTGGACTTGACACACTTGATAATTTTTTCAGCAATTCCTAATGCACAACTGTAGTACTTGCCTGCTGGCTTTACAGTGGAATTTATTTCCTCTGTAATATATAATTACTCTGTTTTCCCTAAGGCTTCCTTACTGGATTTTTGGCATTCACCAAAATCATCTTTCTTCAGGATTGGCACAGCTGCTGGTTTTCTGCGAACATCTGCAACCATTGATCCTCCTCTACATTAGAAACTGCAATATTATTTGTACTGGAGTCTTAAGTAACTTCAGTACCCCCAAAAAAATGAGCATCATGATATCACAAAGTGTTATGACACCGTTAAACTGATTTGAATGTGAAATATTTAGCATAATGTTCATACACTGAGGAACATCCCTCTAATCCCACAAATTCGGCACAATTCTGTAGTTGCCTGATCTTGTCCCATTTCCAGGATGCCACAGGGTTTGCTGCGGGTTGAGCCCGTACCCAGGCTGGACAGAAGGGGGAGAAGTTTGACTAGGCCGAGGAGCGCTCGTGCAAAGGCAGCATATGCAAAGCTGGCTTACACAAAGTCAACAAGGCTTTTAATTTTAGTTTAATTAATACTTTATGTTACTGGCACATAAGTGGTACCACAGTTTTGGAAATCAGAGACTACAGTTTGCTGACCATCACCTTTTCCTTTTGTTTGCACCATGTCCTGCTGATCCTTTAATAGGTCAGCAGTTACGCTTCTACCTGACATTTTCTTTTCTCCTTGTTTCAATACTCTGTTTTTTCCTCTAATGCTGAGTGCTAATGCTCAGATTGACTGAAATTAGGCAAATCCGCCCAATCCTATTTTTACTCATTTCAGTTACCCATTGACACTAACCTTATTGCATCTTATTACTTCAGCATAAAGAAGAAAAATTAACATTTATTACCAGGCTCACATTTTCCATGCAAAGCCTCAGCAGGGGGTTGTCAACCTTTCACACATAACTCCTTTTATTAGGGAAATAGATGAAGAAGTGAAAGGGGACCATATTTGAGGAAACTTGCCAATTCAAAATTTTATAACCCAAACTTTCTTAGTGACCTATTTATTGAAACTTCTAGGTGGCAATACTGTGGCAATATTTCTCACAGTAGCATTTTCATTACTTTGTTCCAATTACTAAGCATCAATTCACTTGTAATGGCTTAGAATGACTTCCACATTGTCACTACCAGTAGAGTCTGATTTTAGAAGTATTTTTAAACAAAATCGTTGTTTCAGCAGTGCACATCCCAAATGTTTTAGGACAACATCCATATGGCCAGTTGTCAATTTTTGCTCGTCAGCTCATCCAAACACACAGTCAAATCCAATACAGCGCAAACTCCTTCTATTCTGCTGCCTAATTAACAAAAAACAGATTCCTTATTTTGTGGCAACTCTATATCATTACACATATTCTACTCTCACCTTTGTTATACTAACTAGCAAATTGCTCAGCAATAATCCTTTGGAGCCCAGTCCTTTTCTGCTTTCATAGCTTCAGCTGAAAATAGTGAGTATAGATCTATATTGTTTATTGGCGTCACGCAAAAATCTACTCTATCTTTGATGCTGCCCCGTTCATCTCACGCATCTCGAACACTTGGATCTCTCTGAATGGGCAGGGATTAGCACTTGGGGAAAATGCCCCTTCCTTGATTTTGTCTCGTTTTCAGTTCTTACTCTTAATTTACCCACAATCTTACTTCTTGTATCATCAGCTTAACTGAATTTTCATATGATTTATGCCTTACATATATTGTTGTTATAACTTGCTTTCTGGATGCTTTCACTTTTTGAAAGTGAAGTAATATATTCCTGAAGGTAGTTTCAAACTTTTGTTTATTCAATTTCTAGATTTTTCCATCACTTAATGTATGTACTGATTTGGCTTTCCCAGAAGCCTGTTTACACATTTTTTTGCTGTATATTTTTGCTGCTTCTAGCTCACTTTCTCTTTATATTTTTGTTTGCAGCAACGCTTCCTCTGCTCTGCTCTTGGTATTCCTTCATTAAATATTTTTCATCGAGTTTATATAGAGATTTTTTTTTCTGACTGTGATGAACAAGTATCTCTGTATTTACCTTAAATAGCAAGGTAAATGTTTTGAGTTGGCCTTTAAATTGCTTCAGGCTCCAAAGTGAGTAAAGGATGAATCATGCACTGCAGGGCAGTCGAGGCAGCTATTTTTGTCGGATGCCTTCTCGGTCTCGCAGCCTTGATTTATTTCAGCAGGGAGTAACGATGGTTACCTTACTTAGAGCTTTCGAAATCCCTGGCTCCATTTGTGTGGCATTTTCAAACCCTCTGTTTACTCACAAAGTTCGCTGTCCGAAACTCTAGAACAGGGAAAGGAAATCCAGATACATTTTCCAAAACTTCTTTAATTTATCCTGACAGATCCATCATCTGCCTGATTACCTGGGTCTCTCATTGCATGCATTCTTTTCAGTATATTTAGGTTGCTGCAATGAACATCTTCACTAACCCCTTGTGCTCATATATTTTCAATCCCTTAGCATCGTTTTTCAGGCTATGTATTGGGAGGGATCTGCCCTGTCGCTATTCTTGGCTTCTCCAAAAAGAGGAGGCCACTCCTGAGTTTTGTGACAAGAAAAATAAAAGCCTGGATAAATAAATAAATGAAATAAAAGAGATTCAAATTTCTACCATGGAAAGAAAGGCAAGAGTCAGCCTCTTTTCGGTGTGGAGCAGCAGCAACCACGCAGTTAACATAAACATCCTGGCCATCTGATCAGCAGAAATATGAGCTCCAGGATCCAGCTCCAGCCCCTCCTCTCCCTGAGAGCATCCGAGCAAACAAACAGGGGAACATTTGGGCTACTGAGCATCAGGACTAAGAAAGAATCAACTTATAGGCTTCGTTTAGTCATCTGCATGTGCATTTCCTTCTCCCTTTTCCCAGGCTAAACTGTGAGTTTCTGAAACAGTTTGCCATCTACGTCTGTACTGGAAGTAAGTCTCTTGATGATGCATAGCATGAATATATGATAATGATGGTCAGAGAGCCTAGAAAATTTTGAATGTCAATGTTACTACGGTGCTAGGAAACTTTGGACCAACAGATACGTAAAGAAGATGTTTTAAGATACTGATATTTTCTGTTTTTGGAAAAGTTTCTCTTTAAATCAGTTTACAGGAAGAAAATACAGTTGCATATAACAGTATTTTCTGCAGTCCTTTCACTCTCTTGATATTAATTAAATTTTTACTTGAATGTGAGTAAAGAATAGGATCCTTTCTGATCAAGTAATCTGTAGGCAACCAGAAGACTTCTTTAACCCAAGAACTATCTTTATCCAAAATAAAATATATATCCATTACAGGCTAATCATATCCATGTGTTTAGGATTTTTATCTTTTTTTTTTTTTAATAATACAGAGTCAATTGTCAGGGTATAGACGAATGCACAGGATGGAAGAAGGATCTGGTTTTATAGGGGGAATCTTTCTTTTCTTTTTTTCTTTTTCTTTTTTCCCAAAAATTCCCAAACACAGTTGCACCTCCATTAAAAGCACCAACTGCAGTTTAAGGATTTTCTTCCTGTTTATCTAAGGATATTGAATAATACAGATTTGGCCAGGCGGATTTCCCATTTTAAGCCCATGACTTGATCATGAAAAAATCCCTGTTCAGTGCTGACACACACTGAGCTCTCTGTCCACATCTCGGTGTAAAACGGTTCATAAAACTCCAGCCTCAAATTGGCCAGGTGCTTTCCTGCTCTTAGGTAACCTCTGCATATTAGATTTACTCAAAGCAATTCCACGGTTGCCAGTTAAGCCCCCCAAAACACTAAGGTGGGGGGCCATTCTTTATAAACTAGTCCCCTAAGCTGCCCTTACC